AACAAACAAAAAAGAAACAATAAAATAGTAAAGCCATGTAAGTGCCCATGGAGGGTGAGCCCATGGAGGGTGAGCCCATGAAGTGGGCAAGTACTTAAAGCTTTTCTAAAATGTTTTGACTTAACTTGACTATCAAATTACTATTGGAAAATCACATAATAATTTAGGTAATTTAGGACCAAGAGCTCTGATGCTGCAGTCTACCACTACCACCACCTGAATGTCTTATGTATAGTATATTAAATGGTTTGAGACTTTGGGATAATTTTTGTTTGTTTTCTAGTGAAACATTTATTCCTTTTTGCCCTCTTATTTTCCATTTTGCATTCTTTGACATTTTTTCTCATTATAGATTACAAATACTGTTTTGCATTATCTCCCTGACCTTCTGGAAAAATAAAATTAAATTTATTTTTAACTGAAACATAAAAACATGGAAACTGTACATATTAATGGAGTATCATGTGCTGCTTCAATACAGTCATGCATTGTATGTTTAAATCCATGTCAACATATCTAGGTCCTCAAACATTTATGGTTTCTTTATGTTAAAAATATTCAAAATCCTTCCTGAGAAATTTTTGAGGTTTATAGTCCATAATTGTTATGTGCAGTCACCCTAGTATGCAATAATAGCAGCCCACGGCTTGTTTCTCTTGTCTAATTGGAATTTAGTGCACCTTGGTCAGCCTCTTCCCAGCTTTCCCACCCCACAAGAAACAACTTTCAAATGCTCTTGACTTTGGGTCCATGTGGCCAAGTTTTTCTTTCTTGCCCTCATTGCCTCTTTTCTGACTAAGCCTTGGTTATTGCATGTTGGAATTATGGCAGAAATATTCAAAATTGTTTCACTTCTTCTTCATGCTGCCTTCATCTTATCACAGATATCATCAGGGTTCCATTTCTCTCAACAGACAAAAATGATCTTGCAGACCTCCCCAACAGATAGCCTCTAATTAGCAACCTTTCCCAAGCTTCTCCACTGCTGCTTTGTGCTCACAGAGGAGAGGGTGACTCAGGGATTTGGGGATTTCTACCATCTGACCCCAACCAACTGGGTAAAGCGGCCAACCACTCTTTCACTGCCAAGCTTTAAGGATGTTTTTCTGGTCTTAATTGAAGTCTTCTCAAAGGTGAACTCTACCAGGGCTAAGACACTTCTTCACTGCTGTCTGTATATTTAGCATAATTCGTTTTCTATGTTAAACAAATGAGCACACAAATATCTCTGGGGCACTGGCCACCCTAGTGACTCCTACCTAAAATTCTTTGCTTCTTTGACTCAGTACTAATACTCTTTCTTTTTTTCTCATTCCCCACTGATTGGTTCTTGGTTTCCACATTTATTTCCACCACCTATTAAATTTGGATTTTCCTGAAGGATTATTCTCTACTCCTTTAAATCCACTTTCACTTTTAGGGTCAGACATTCCTATGGATGGTAGAAACTCTCTTACAGCCTGAAGATTCCACATTTTAGTTTCTCCTTTAGGTCCCTGTTTATTTAACGCTGACATCCCAAATGAATAATATCAGAGACACTCAAAGCCAGCATCTCCCTAACATCACTCCTACATTCTCACCTTTCTCCCTGTCTGGATGAATGATGCCTGTTTCTATCCTTGCCTGTCCACACCACAGTGCTGGGATTAATCCGCAGTGTGGTAAACTATGGTACTGTTACTGGCCGACTTTTGGGTTATGTGGGGAAAGGTGAGGGGAGAATTGTGTGCTCTTTAATGGTTTTTAACTTTTCATTTTTTTAAAGAACTTAAACTTTATTTACCACCTTGACTCTTTTCCCTTTCATGCATAGTTACTTAAAAATTGCATCTTTTCTTTCTTTTTAAAACTAGCTTTAGGATATAATTCATATTTCATATGATTTGGCCACTTAAGGCATACAATTAAATGGCTTTATTGTAGTTTCAGATCAAAGTTGTGCAACCATTACCACAATCAAATTTAAGAACATTTTTGTCCCTCAGAAAGAATCTGTACCTTGCTAGCACTTTCCCTCACTCCCTGCTTCCCTATCTTGCAGCCTTAGGCAAGTGATGACTTATTTCCCTTCACTATGCCATTGGCTGTAGGGAAATAAGCTGTCTTATCCCTGCATCTTTGCCTTCTTCCTATATCCTAAGACCTCTTCCTCCCATTCCTTACATTTGTAAGTCCCTGTCCTTCTTCATGTACCAGGATACCTTTTCATTAATTCCATACTTTCTCCAGAATTGTCCTTCCTCTCCATGGAAGCTTATAGGGGAAGTGTGCGAGATAATTTACTGTAACTCTTTTTCATTATTCATTTTCTAGGTATCTTGAAGTTACCTCAACTTCTAATTATGTTAAAAGGGTAAATCAGATTGCCTGATTTTATTTATGCATTTTGCTCCTCTTTACTTTTAAAAAAATGTTGAGAAATGGCTGCGATTGCTTTGACAGTGAAGAATTCTTAAAACTTGTTAATAAGAAGAATTTTAGGTTTCAAATAATTGGGAACTGATAAAGTTAATTGGGAATCACTGTATATTACTGATAAGGTTAATTTTAGGCTCTGTTTATTTGCTTTCTTGAGCTGGAGCCTAACTGTGAAATCTCTACAGAGATTTCAGTTTAAAGCTATGACTCAATATTAATTTCATGAGATAGATTTTGGAAGAACAGTTCATGCTCTAATAAATCATCCTGTAATTCAGAACTTGTATTAATTCAGATTTTATATGAATCATTTATTTTAGAGAGTTTTAAAATAATTACTTGAAAAGTTAATTGTTAAGAAGAATATGACAAATAGACACCTTTCCACAAGCTGTAGATGTCACAAGACTGTACATGGTGAAAGGGTATTTCAATATATCTTAAAATTGGGCCAGTATGATTATTCTTACATATGGATTAATACTGACTTGTTATTCCTGTATGCTGGGTTTTCTACATAATACAGATCACAACAATACGCTGGAAACAACCTTGGCAACCATAAAATCGAACTCCCTTCTCTAAAAAAATTGTGAAGTCAACAAATCTAAACAAATTCCCCCAAAACCATACAAGATGTTAGGAAGAGAGTTGAATGTGGAAACTTTAAAGCTTTTGATATCCACAAATCCAACTCAAAACATACTGGTTTAAAACAGTAATCATTTACTTAGCTCACAGTTCTGTGGGTTGACAATTTGAGATCTTGCCACCTTGTTGGGTTTGCTGCTGGCTTGACTCCACTGTCACAATCAGTGGGTGGGCTACAAGCAACTGAACTATGGAACATGATTCAATTACATGTAAGGATACCAGGTTCTTGGCCAAAGCAACAGGAGTAACCAGGCCCTGTACCTCCTATCATCTAGCAGATTAGGGAGGACTTTTTCCTAGGACCATGGAAAAGGGCTCCCCGGAATGGCAAAGGTGAAAGCTGAAGGCGTCTTGCAGTTTAAGCTTGAACTAGCAAGACTTCAATTCCACTGCATCCTGTGTGTGAAGGCAAATCACTAGCCATCTAGATTTGAAAATAGACTTTACCGCTTGACGGGAGGAACAGCAAAGAATTTGTGACCTGCCTGGTGTTACAACCCTAATCAGCTAGTTTCCAGTTTATGATTCTTTTAAAACACAATCTGTAGATAAACAGATGAAAATCTTGCCTCTCTATATCACAGTAATTCATTTTTGTCCAAGAAGTTTAGCAGTCTTTATTTAAGAAGAAATACTTGAAATGGATCTTGAAGAAAGAATTCACCAGACAGAAAGAAGATTTAAAGATAGGTGGGGAAACAGAGTTTTAGAGAGAATGACAGGCTCTAGGGATAGTCAAGGGTCCCAAACGACTTGTGGGTTGGATCGTGGGGTGAAAGGTAGGGGAGTAAGGTGGGTAATAAGGTTGGAGGAGTCTTCTAATACCAGAAAGTTTCCCACCCAAACTAGATGCTTAGTTACTTCATTTCATCCAAGAACATGTTTTCAGTTTGCAAAAGGCAGTAAGATAGCATTTCCATTTGGGAAGAGTGTATTTTTTCTTCCCCAAACAGGAAATGTGAACAAACACGAGTTGTATGAATTGGAGGATACCATGGTGTAGTGAAGACTATAGAGTCAGGGAACAAGAATGCCATTATCACCCACAAGGGCATGACAGAAGCATGAACTGGAATTTGGAGTAAAAGAGAGAGCCCAGTGTTCTGCACAGGTCATGTCACCATGGAGCCAGAGATATGACAGTCTGGGAGTTCAGGAAGTATGACATAAATGAGCTTGCCAGGTGGTTCTGTACCAGCACTTCCTATCTCAGAATGAGCACAGGAAGTGAGGCATCGTGAACACTGCAGGTGGGAGAAATCCATGTGAGTGACTAGTGCTGACAGAGGGAAAAGGCAGTCACAGTGGAAATGAAATTCTTTATCTTGGTGGCCCATTAGCTACAATTGTGAATCAAAAGAAGTGGTGTTTGAGCTCCATTTGCAACTCCATGTGAAAACATCCATGAGCTGCAGTATGATCTTAGTGAAACTATTTTTACTTTCTTGTGAAAGATGATAGCTGTGCAGTGTTCACACTTGTAACGCCAGCGCTAAGGAAAGTGAAGGGAGAAGATGGTGAGTTTGAGGCCAACCTGGGATACATAGAAAGTTTGAAGCCATATTGGACTATATAAGGAGACCATATCTAAAAAAAAAAAAAATTAAAATACAACAACAAAAGATGATAAAATAGCATAAGCAACCTGGAATGTTACCACTGATAACGTCAGTATCCTTCTGTTTGAATAAATGGAAGCACTGTCATCTTGCATTGGTCTATATTCACCTACACAGTCTATTTCTCTAATTCAAAGTTTGTTTAATCATGTACTCCATGGATTACAGTTTATACTGTGTTCTGCGTTTTTCCTTGAATACCTAATTAAAAAGCAACGTAGGGTTGGGGTAGACCATTTCCCTGGCTCTATTCCATCCCCAGCACTGAACTAAAATCATTGTGGCCATTTGTTCCCTCCGTTTCAGATAATCTTATAACTGCCTTCACGGTCTCCATGGCGATCGGGCTGGTCCTCGGCGGGTTCCTTTGGGCGCTGCTGGTTTGCCTGTCTCGAAGAAAAAGAGCCAGCGCGCCCATCTCGCAGTGGAGCTCCAGCCGCCGGTCGCGCGCTTCCCACGGCCACGGGCTCAGAACTGGATTCTACCGCCACAGCGGCTGCGAGCGGCGCAGCAACCTCAGCCTGGCCAGCCTCACGTTCCAGCGCCAGGCTTCCATGGAGCTAGCCAACTCCTTCCCGAGAAAGTCAAGCTTCAGGGGCTCGACTTTCCACCCGTTTCTGCAGTGTCCCCCGCTCCACGTGGAGACGGACAGTCAGCTGGTGACCCTGCCGGCCCCCAGCTCCTCCGCTCCCGTGGGCACCGCGCACGGCCCGGTCCGGCCCGACCTCCACTGGGCCACTCTGGCCCCTCCGCCCCCGCCGGCCTACGAGTCCATCATCAAGGCCTTTCCAGACTGCTGAGCTGGCTGCTCTGTGTTCTCTCTTCTCATCCTTCAACGAAAGGAAATCACGAATAGGCCAAGCAGCGTTTGGGGGGCCTGGACCAAATAACTAATAAGTTTGCAAGTTGAATATGCACACAAACTGCGCATTATAACATAAGACGCATTTTAAGCACGTTTTTCTCCATATGCCTCCCCAAAAGTAGCATTTTCCGAAATTGTTATGTTATACCTTTTGTGTTCAAGGTGAGGCTTATTTAAGACAGTGATTCTAATCTAGAAATCAGCTACAAAGTGAAAAACATAGGCGTTCTTAAAATTCCTTGATTCCACTCATTTATAAATTTGAATCAAGGAAGCTTAACTGTGTTAATTTGGTAGGATTCTGTGACAGTTTTGATTTTGTTTTTTTTTAGGTTTTTTTTTTTTCCCCAGAGATTCCTTTTGGCTTTTTCCCCAAAATAATTATTGATATCATTGAAGTAAAAGATGTGGGTTTTAACACGAGGATTTAGTGTTTCCTCACCACGGCGCTGATGTCATTACAAAAGCAACAACATCACATCCACTTCATTTGATCTGAACACAAACTTTGGTTTAACAAGAGCTCACAGTTCTCTTAAGAGGCCAATTTTGCTTTCTTAGCCTTGGAGCTAGCAACAGGGAAAGTATTTTGTCTAGGGATCTTCTCATGTAACTTTACACACAAATACAGATGAGTCACACAAATACAGATGAGACAGGCTGTTCTGGACACCCATGTTAAACAATGAGGAATTCTCCTGGATTGACTTAGCTACCAGGCACCTTCCCTTGTTTGCTCTCTGAATGTTACCTTCATCTTCTCTGCACAGTCTGTTCAGTGATCAAATCATGCCACATGGTCCTGGTGCCGATAGTTATTTAAGGAGTTCACAGGTGTGCACCAGATGTCAGGGGCTCAATGGCTGCCCTTTGTATTTAAAGACAGGAGTTCACTGGAGTATTACTCAAAAATCCTGCAGTTCATTTTTTGATATACCAAATAATTAGTTTATATTTGTTTGTATACTTGTCAGAATTTGGGGATTTCTGGTGACAAAGACATACTCTCAGAGTAGTTTTGTGGCTCAGTGGTCTGAACCATGCTCCAGAATATACAATTTTTGATCATGATGCGATACATACATGTACCATTTCCCCTCAATGAATGTATTTATTATATATTGCAATCATATACTAATAAAATACAAAATTTTTTACATGAGATTCTATATAGCATTTTCATTATTAATGTTATATATCTTATGCTATACTGAGAAATTATTCTTTATAATGTGAATAAAAAGCTCTCTAAGTACATGAGAAAGGAAGGAAAGAAAGATGGAAGGAGAAAAGACAAAAGGAAGAAAACCAAAAGAAAAGCTAACAGAACAATTGACTTAATGTAGTTTGGTTTTTAAATAGGGAAATTTAGAAATTGTAATATGGTCAAGTAAGATTTCAAGAGAGCTTTAACTTAACAACAAGGCTGTTTTTAACTTGCATGTCATTATTAATGTTTAACAAGAAATATGCAAATTATTTTTTTTCTAGAATTTGTAATGGCAGTAAAAATTGTTTCATGTTTTTAAAATGAGACCAGAACCTCTTGGGTGTGCTTAACTATCTGTCAGAATTATTGCCTACTGCCTAGCACTACTTGTAAAACAAAGTGAGTATCTTATAAATATTGTGCAGTTTATGAAATATGAAATTAGAGCAAAATATTTAGTTGTATTTGTTTTATTTGAAATGTTTTATTATTAAATTAATGTCAATTTTGATTCCCTTTATTGAATAATGAAAACACTTCTAAAAAGCTAAAGAAAAGAAGTTGTAAAACTAATACATGAGTAAGAAAGACAATTCAGATAAAAAAACATTGTACTAAGGTGTTTTGAACATATTAAAATTCATTGGAAATAAAAGTCTGCTCATTCTTTGAAAATGAGTGGCCTGAGAAACCATCTTTTTTATATGAATATGTATAACAGAACATTTGTAACATCACAAATACATTTCACAAAATTTTTCAGTGAATTAATGCAAAGGGAATAATACCAAGTTATTTGTTAAAAACATGAATTTAAATTTCAGAATTATTTAAAATATGTTTAGCAAGTACATGAAATAAAAAAGCTACTTTTTAAGAGCCAGCAGAGTGGAATGAATTACAAATGAAAATATTAATAACTCTGAGTCTATAAAAATATGAAATCTGTTTATCAAAAGGTAAATGTATCCAAAATTTAAAAAAAGAAAAAAGCCAAAATCAAAACAAAAATATCAAGAAAGAAAGACAGGAAAAAGATCCTCACTATGAATACAGACAAAAGATTGTATCTTTAAAGTTTTGATTAGCTCACATAAATGTACAGAAAACAGTTCTAAATAAAGAAGTAAAAGATTAAAACAGATAATTCACTAAAAATAATTAATTAGAAAACTTTTTCATAAAATAGTTAATATTCCTACTGAGAAAGTGCCTGGATACATTTAAACAATAGCATTTTCATCAATTATATTAGCTAATCATTTGTAAGAGAATGAATTGCCTCTCTTGGCAACTGTGACAAATGTACCAAGAAAGAAAGGCTCCCATATATTCTAAGTGCAAGTTGGGACTGCCTTTTTGGGAGACAATTTGTTGCAAAAGTACAAAGAGCCTTGTATTGTCCAGACCCTTCAGGGATGGTGCCCAATAGTTAAGAGTCAATCGGGGGATCTCAGCATGCCTGCTAGACACACCATGTTCTTTGTGAAACAAGGCAATAGATTCTTAGGGAGACCAACACTGCTCTATTCACCATGCAGCACATTCTAAGGCAGATGGTAAACAACTGGCCTTACTGAATCTGTCCTGCTTTGGGGTGAGAAATTAAGATGAAAGGAAAAAGACAGAGAGCTACCCCAGCAAAGGGCCTCAAGGAGAAAAGACACTAGAAAAGGAGAGTTTGGGAGTAAAAAACCTGAAACATCCTTTTAACAAGCTCTCATTGCTTAAGATACTTACATGGTTTTATCACCTGACAAATTGAAAGAAATTAACCCTGAGCTACTTTATGGGAAAAATGATAAGAAATAGAGCCTTAAGGTCTACACACTAGACTAGTTCTGCTTGACCCAGGCATGCAGGGTTCTTATGTTTTACAGAGCCCCATGCTTTCAAGCAACTACTATGAAATGTTCTAAATCTTTTCCCTGTGTGTAGAAGTGGCCAGTCCTGGCAGTACTATCTTGGCAGAGTAACTGATCTTAGAACAAGACTTGTGTGGACCTTGGTCATGTTTCTTTCTTCTCAGTTGTTCTTTGATAGGTTAGCAAATAGATGGGGTTGACCAGATGCCTCAACAACTCTATGATTTTCATCTAAGGCTTTCTATAGCAAAATCCCAGTTCTGAGAGGACAGTCAGCCCACTTCTGTGGAAAAGGATGTCTTTCTTCATGGAATTACATGATACTGTACCACCAGAATGAGGCTGACAGGCTGATTATGAGGTTTTTCCATTTAGAATGAAGAATTTCAGGTTTACTCATACGATAATAACACTTATATATTCTTTTTCACATAAAATATCCATGGAAAGATCACTAACCCTCACTTGTGCCCATGAGTTTATAAAACATTTGAAACAGCTTTTTTCATATGAGACGGGGTCCTGCAAAAAAAAAAAAAATTATCCATTGCCTCACATAACCTTGGTGTCTCCTTGTATTGAGAAGAAGTGGAGAGATATAAGGCATTTGCCTGATCTGATCTGAAAAACAAGTGATCCGCCCACACTTCATGGTCGTAAATGTATGTTATCGCTTATCTTCATGAATCATTCACTTATTGTGCTTACTAAAGAGCTTTGTAGATTGTAGGTAGCTTTAGAGTGGTTTCCAGAGGTAGGGTCACGCAACAAGCAGAGATTTGATTGAATCTCTCTTAGGTATTGAGAAAAATAAAAGGCAGATATAGAAGTGCTGTAACATACACAGTGGTTCTTGTGAGGTATGTTAAGCAAAGGAGAGAGTTGATTCCAAAATGCCTGACTAGAAAGGTACCAAGCTACATCAGCATCTGTCATTGGAACAGGAAATTCTTGCTGCTCGAATGCACATTTTTCAACTACTATAAAGCAACCATACAAATGGATACATCTACGAACTGGGTTCCCACAGTGCTGGGAATTCCATGGTGGTGGAAGGTCTTTATTGAAAACTCGGGCTTTGTAGATAAGTCTCTGTGTACCTAAGACAGACAGTGGTAGGACTGAAGCTTAAATTGGAATATTGACCACAGTGAGGGCAGGAAGAACTAGGGTTAGCTGTTACTGAGGAACAGAAGGCAAATAGGCAGACGATGGGCATCTGAAAGTACAGATAATCAGGGTAGAAGGGAGTAGCCAAAGATGTTTGTTCAAAACTTAAGAGCAAATGCAGAGACAATTTTGATGAAATGCAGGACAAATTTAATGCTATTTAAATAAATTGCTCATAAGATCAGCAATAAAAACCATTATGAGACAGATATTTGAAAGTTCACAAGTGAAAATAAGCATAAAAATTCTAAATGTGGAAAAATCTCACACTTCCCTGTAAGTAAAGAAAAATAAAAATTCCTGCTAAGAATTCACAAAAAATAGTAACAAGCAATAGTAGAACTTTGATGATTGATAAAAGACACCAAGAACAGTATCCACTTTCCAGCTCATGGGCACAGCGTGGTATTGTGGTGAAAACTCACAAGTGTCTGGATGTCTGAAAATCCAGTCTGATGAGCCATTCACATTTTCAAGCAAATAGGAAGAAAATTTCTCAAATTAAGGAAGAGGACTCCAGCCACCAATGAATACCCCCACCTACCACGCAAATCTATAAAGATTTATTCACTCTGGTACTATGTGTCCATGCTCTTTAGAAATTCACTATACTAGTACAGTTGTTAAAAACTTCAATCCTGGATTCAACTGCTAAGTACCCCCCTATGTCTGTCTGTCTGTCTGTCTCTCCCCCTTCACACACACACATGCACACACATGTACACACACATATTTGCTTCTCTTAACCTGTTATTTCATCACTCTTTTTTTCTAGTGTAATAGAGACCTACTTTGTATAATTTTTTTGTAAAAAGAAGACCATATACTAGGGAATAATCTAAAGCCAAAAATTTCCAAAATTAATTCATTACTGGATGAGTGAGGAGTAAGGTTATGGCAAGAGCACAGGACACACTTCTGTCTGCCAAACCTCTGCTGTCTCAGAAGCACAAACCATCTCTCACTCTCTGCCCCCTTGATGATGGCAGAAGCCATCACTCTATCAAATGCAGTCACACTGATTAGTCCAGAGAAGGCATCTGACCAAGCAGGCACGGTGGCTTTTGCAAAGTGTTTGAGGTAGGGATCTGGAGAAAGTAAGACCCAGATGAGAAAAGCAGAGTAAAACTAAAAAAACAAGTTAATGAGAAGAAGAGAATAGTTCATTCTCAAGGAGAAGGGGATCAACAGATGCAGGAAAGGGGAAGGAAGAAAGGGATAAGAGTTAAAAGAAGGAATTGGGATTTGTTGTACATGTATACCAACCCCACAGCAGGATTATAAAAATTATGTGCTGCAAATGTGTATTTAGAAAAAGGGAATCGAGAGATGGATGTAGGGGGCAAGGAAGGAAGGGAGGAGGGACGAAAAAAGAAATTAAGATATGCTATATACAGGTACCAACATCCCACAGGGAATGTAACATTAGTACACATATGTACTAATAAGCTAAAATTAAAAAAGAAGTAAAACGTAAAAGCTATCTTATTCTATAATATATACTGCTTTATTTCTAAAACTGATAAACTGAGAAATTATATATATATAGAGAGAGAAATAGAGAGAAATCATGTTAGTAAACGCTAGTAAAATACCTATTTTAGGAAAATGGGCATAGATACAAGTAAATCACAGATCATATAACAAATGGTTGAAAAAAAAAGCATGAAAGTAAAAAGTGAAAATATAAAATGTCAGAATTAATTACAGTTTTTATTTGTTTTTTTTTTTGGTTTTTTTTTGAGACAGTGTCTCATGATGTAGTTCAAGCTGGCCTTGAACTCACTGTAGTCCAGGCTAGTCTGGCTCACAGCAATCCTCCTGCCTCAGCCTTTTGAGTGCTGGGATTACAGGTGTGCACCACCAAGTTTCACAATGAAGCACATTCTGTCTGAAAATAAATATGAAGAGATATCACACACACGCGCACACACACACACACAGAGAGGCTCTGTTGTATTTCCAACTGCAAACTAATCATAAATCTTGCAAAAATGAAGTGCTTCAGAAAATTTAAAAGGTTGGCAAAGCTATACAAATGTGTACTGAGTGGGACTATCAGAAAAGTTGGCCTTTATGAAATATGTTAAATAGAAAAGATAGTTACAATATTAAAGAATAAAACTCAGTGAGGGAATAAATGACTATGAGTCTGAAGTGTAACAAAGCACCGAAAATGTCTGTATTACACAAATTGCAGAGTGACGGATGCAAATAAATATTTCAATGTATTTGCTCTAGTCAGGCATGGTGGCACATGCCTTTATTTCTAGCACTGGGTGGCTGAGGCAAGAGGATTGCTACAAGTTTGAGGCCAGTCTGGGCTATATAGTGAGTTCAGGAGCAGCCTGAACTGTACAATGAGACCCTGTCTCAAAAAACAAAAAACCAAAAATCAATGTATTTGCTCTATTTATAGATAAAAGTCTAAGGATTGTAAGATAGTTTAATACATAAATTAACTTACACATTCTACGTTATTAGAGCCAGAATCCTGACATGCAGGCTTTGTTTTGCTTTTGTATTTGCTTTTGTTAGTCTTTTTGCTTAGAAGAAGATAGCAAATTGTATAGAATACAAACTTGAGAAACAGCTGGTCAGAATCCTGAGAAAGAGTAATAAGATCTTCAGTCAAAGTGTTCGACATTAAAATGTTCTT